CCCCGCCTGTAAGGGCGGCGGGGGGGACGGCCGGAGAGGGGTATTTTTAATGAATTCTTCCCTGGCATCGTTTTGGGGGAGCTTTTTAGGGTGACTACGCCTTCGTGTACATAACTTCAGTACAAACCAAAGAATTCCGTCCTGGGGCGGGAGGGAGGTGGGCAGCTCGTGGAGGGGGCTGGCGGGCCGGGACGCGGCCGCTTGCAAAACCACGTCGGTCTCAGGTCCGTGCGCTCGTGCCCAGTTCTTGATGCAGTATTCCCGCCGGGATTTGGGGAGGGAGACCTTGGTGTCTTCCCCGTTGCGAGCCGGGCTGAGCGTTCTCGCATGAGGGACGGCATCGTAAGCGGTGATCAGGTTCCCATCCTCTCATTGCGGCTCCCTTTTTTTTATCCCTGTAATAGGCTTTTTAGAATGATGGAGAAGTTGCGGGATGAATGGGAAGTAACCAAGGGGTAGGCAGGAACGAGGTTCCTCGCAAAGATACGGCGTCTCGATGAAGGTAAAAATTTAGATTGCCTGCAGATAGAAATAGTTGCTCAGCGAGTGCTGTATCCTAGGAAATTTGTCTGTTTTTAAAAAAGAAATAAAATAGGAAGGGGATGGGAAGCTCAGGATTAGGCTAGGTCACACGGCAAAGCTGTGGATTCTCCGTCAGTGGAAGTATTAAGAGCAGGGTCTGAGAGCGGGTCCTGCTTCGGGCTGCGATGCACCGTGTCCTGGCTGGGAAGCCTTGGACCGGCATCGGGGGGTTCCTGTAGCACCCTGCAATACCCTGCAGTTTGTTGTAGCACCCTGCAATACCCTGCAGCACGTTGTAGGACCTTGCAGCACACTGTAGGACCGTGCAGCACCCTGCAGCACACTGTAGGGCCTTGCAGCATGCTGTAGCACCCTGCAGCATGCTGTAGCACCCTGCAGCATGTTGTAGGACCCTGCAGCACCCTGCAGCACACTGTAGGGCCTTGCAGCACCCTGCAGCACCCTGCAGCATGGTGTAGGAGCCTGCAGCACGCTGTAGCACCCTGCAGCACCCTGCAATACCCTGCAGCATGCTGTAGGACCTTGCAGCACCCTGCAGGACCTTGCAGCACCCTGCAGCACACTGTAGGACCTTGCAGCACTCTGCAATACCCTGCAGCATGCTGTAGGACCCTGCAGCACCCTGCAATACCATGCAGCACCCTGCAGCATGCTGTAGGACCCTGCAGCACCCTGTAGGATCCTGCAATACCATGCAGCACCCTGCAATCCCATGCAGCACCCTGCAGCATGCTGTAGGACCCTGCAGCACCCTGCGGCACCCTGTAGGATCCTGCAATACCATGCAGCACCCTGCAGCATGCTGTAGGACCCTGCAGCACCCTGTAGGATCCTGCAGGACCCTGCAGCACACTGTAGTACCCTGCAGCAGGCGGGGGACCGGAGCAAACTCAGGGAGCCCTGCCGTGAGCAAGGGACAGCTCGGGGGACGGCGGGGGCAGTTTTCAGTATTGCTCTGCCTGGGGTTTGATGCCTCTGGGCAGCTCTTGCAGCAGGGATTGAATGCGCAGAGTGGCTCCCTGCTGTGTTTTGGGGTTCGTGCTGGGTTTTCAAGGCTGTGGGAGAAAGGGGACTTCGTGTCGGGTGGGAAGGCTTCTGCTGGGTGAACCCCTGGGTGACGCAGGAAGGGGTTTGTCTGTCCTTTAGGTGGCATTAGAGCATCCGATTTCTGAGCCCCCGTCTCTGAGCTGAGGGGGGGAAAGAGCAAACGTGGAAAGAAAGGAAGAATCGATGGATCAAACCGGGTGTTTGGTAGGGCTCCTCGCTCGGCGCCGCGGTGCTCGCCGTGAGACGAGATGCTCTTCTTTCGGGTCGCGCCTGAATCTCTCTCGCTGTCGTTCCCGCTGCGTCTGGTTCCCGGATCACTCTGCGCCGGCGCCCGCGCCTTGTCCGTCCGTCCGTCCGTCCCGCCCGTGGGCGCCTCTGCCTCCATCCCCATCTGTCCGCATCCGTCTTTCCCCTTCCTTTCGGCGGGCAGCCACTGCCTGCATCTGCCGAGGCGCATTTGTTGGGGCTTCCCCCCAATTTTCAGAGCAGGGAACCTGCGTGGGGAGCGGGGCGGGGGGGGGAGGCAGGGTTTGCCCCCCACCCCGGTCCTCTGAGCGCCTGTGCCTGTCTCCCATGGGTGCCAGCTCCCAGGGGCCCAATGCGCCTCCCTCCGTGCCCGGGGGGTTTCTCTGGCCGGGCGTTTCGGCAAAGGCAGACCCGTGGTCCGTGTCGTGCTGGCAGTGTCCGTCTCTTGCTCCGCAATCTGTTTCCATATTTATATGTCCAGGGGATGGGCCTGGCGGCATCCTCTAAAACTGCGTCTGTTTATTCTGTAAACTAAAGAACTGTAAATAAAGTTTAGCGTTCCTATTGTAACAAATTAATTTTTATGCAATAAATTATATTTCCTAGTCTAATATTAAAAGAAATTAAAAAAAAAAAAAAAA